CGGGCAGCCTTTGCCCAGGCTGGGGAGGAAATCAGAAATAGTCTTGTTTTTTTGCAAGATTTTGTTAAACTTGATGCCAATTCCGTACTTTTAGTCTTTTTATTTATCTAAAAATACGGACTACAGAGGAAGGATTGTAACTACAACGGAATTAAATGTAATCGTGCGAAAACTTGAAATCATGACTTTAAGAAATCTTGATGTTTTAAACCTTCCTGAGTCGGAAAAACATAGTTGATCATTCTTGTGTGTATGTGTGTGTGTGTGCTTTTTTGAGTGTATTTTGTCACGATAACTTTAGTGTAGCTATAGTTAGGTTGACGGAAGTAGTACTTTACGCTATTTCCGACTTTTCAAAAAATAAATCAGAATATGATCATTTTAAATCACTTTTGGTGCACAATTCTTATTTTTCTGCGCGAAAACAGAAAAATTGAACGCAGAAAAGGTTCCACTTCCGGTTATCGGAAATCGCTCAAAAGTTGATACGGATCTACGATTTTGATATAATATATTTATATGTGAAATTTCATTAACCTAGCTGTAACGGTACTCAAGTTATCGTGTTTACATACACACAAATAGACACACACACATACACACACAGAGACATACGGAAAAGATTGCAAAACTATGTTATTCCGACTCAGGGAGCTGTAAAACGTTGAGATTTGCAAAAATCTCGATTTTTTAAATTTTTTTTTGCACGATTACAAGACTTTCTCTGTACTTCGTATATACAAGAAAGTAAAAATGGATTAAAATCATGCTTTATCCCTAGTTACCATCCCAACGTAGTGTTATTTAAGAATATTCGAGAAAGTTTAGGGGAGATCACTCCCGCTTTATGTTGTATATAATCTCTAAAAAAAATACAATTGAAAATGAAGAAGAAAAAGAAGAATTTACTTTTATAAAAATATAACCTAATGATCAGGCCTAGACAGCTCTTAGGGGGGGGGGGGTAAACAATTTTTTTTTTAAACAAATCGTGAAAATTAGGCTAAGAAGAAAAAAAAATGAGTTAAAACTAAGATGGAGAGGATTATAACCCTTGCTATGATTTACCTACATCACCCTTATCACTCCCCCCCCCCCCCCCCCCCCCCACACATACACACACCCTGATAAACCGATTTTAAGATCATTATCTAAACAATAATATTTACAAAAAGTTACCTGTACTAATTAGGTGAGGCTCGTTTTTGAAAGAAGTCACCTCGAAATCATAACAGCTGTTTAAGACGTCACACGCTTCCCATAATCCTACATGTGCATAATCATCGAATTTGCCAATGTACTTGGTAGAATAACCAATGACAATAAGTAATAAGCCTGAAATATGCAGTTATAACTATATTTTTTTGTTTATTTTCAGTCTATGTGGGTTAACTGCATTTACATTTAGATGACGATTTATCAATTCTATTCCCATTTATAGCCCTTAACTACGCATTTAAAAAAAATTTCAATAGAAAACAGAAATTGCAAACCTCATAATTGACACAAAGACACTTTAAGACATTAAAAAAATAACTTGCAAATTAATTTAGCGATATAATTAACGGGTCTTTGAATATTTTACAGACGCACCAAACAGACCACCACCAGCCTAAGACATTGATATACCACCAGTCTAAGACAGTGATATACCACAAGCCTAAGACAGTGATATACCACCAGCCTAAGACATTTATATACCACCAGCCTAAGACATTTATATACCACCAGCCTAAGACATTAATATACCACAAGCCTAAGACAGTGATATACCACCAGCCTAAGACATTGATATACCACCAGCTACAGACATTGATATACCACCAGCCTAAGACATTTATATACCACCAGCCTAAGACATTTATATACCACCAGTTACAGACAATGATATACCACCAGCCTAAGACATTGATATACCACCAGCCTAAGACATTGATATACCACCAGTCTAAGACAGTGATATACCACCAGCCTAAGACATTGATATACCACCAGCCTAAGACATTGATATACCACCAGCCTAAGACATTGATATACCACCAGCCTAAGACATTGATATACCACAAGCCTAAGACATTGATATACCACCAGCCTAAGACATTTATATACCACCAGCCTAAGACATTGATATACCACTAGCCTAAGACATTTATATACCACCAGCCTAAGACATTGATATACCACCAGCCTAAGACATTGATATACCACCAGCCTAAGACATTGATATACCACCAGCCTAAGACATTGATATACCACCAGCCTAAGACATTTATATACCACCAGCCTAAGACATTGATATACCACCAGCCTAAGACATTGATATACCACCAGCCTAAGACAGTGATATACCACCAGCCTAAGACATTGATATACCACAAGCCTAAGACATTGATATACCACCAGCCTAAGACATTTATATACCACCAGCCTAAGACATTGATATACCACCAGCCTAAGACATTGATATACCACCAGCCTAAGACAGTGATATACCACCAGCCTAAGACATTGATATACCACCAGCCCATCGGATTCTATCAAGAAACTTTTGGGTTTAGCATTATACAGATTGCGTTTTAAGGCGTATTTCCCGGTTTTCGACAGGAGTAGACCTTTGGGGTGAGACAAATAGTTTTGAAATATCTCTTTCCAAACACAACCCTTGCCTACCCAACACACTGTTACACACCTCTCCGAACTACCGCTCACAACACCCCCGCTGTCACTCAACCAATCGCTGCGCTTGTTACACTCTTTCACTCTGTACAACAAGGGCCTACGTGTCCACACACCCCGCGAGACCTGACTGTCGTACAAAACAATTGTAATGGTACACACAAACACACAGTGGCGTAGCGAGGGGGGGGGGGGTGCAGACCGCACCGAGTGACACCATTTGGGGGGGGGGGGGGGGGAGGGTGACACCAAGGCAAAAAAATAGTAAAATATATAGAGAAAAATTTGAGGGGAGGTGCAAATCGAAAGTTTGAGGGGGGCGGGGGGGGGGGTTCAAATCGAAAATTTGAAAGTTTGTCCCCGGGAAGGGGCGCTACGCCTCTGGGGGTGACACCAACCTCGCAACGCCACTGCAAACACACACAAACAGTTTACAGCTGTTCATTCCACACACTCATCTAATACATTGCACATCACCACGCCTAGATAAATAGAAAACTGTCCTAACAGTCGAACTGCCTTAAGCGAGAAGTCAATAAAATAAATATAAACTTTATATTTCTACGATTGTAAACATTCGGCGTGAACCACAGCTCACCAGACTGGTCGGGTGATAACGTCTAGATAGTTATATCCCCTTCTGTTATGGAATATCATACTCTATCGAGCGATCTCTAGCATTAAATCTTGCTATGTCCCCATAGTTTCAAAACCGTTTTATTAATTTAATGACTGATTTAACATCTAATTTCTAGGATTATCATTTTGACATCAAGAATGGTTTAGTTAAGTGTCGATGTTCAGCCTAGGTACTTAACAGTTACTTTAGAGCCGCGGCCTCTGACATACCTTTCTTTCATTCAACATCATCTTACAGTACTGTAGGTTCAGGAAACACTATTCCTAAATTTTAAAAATTCCAGTTCAACATATTACATATATAAAAGCAAATTTACTCAGTTTCAGATTGGTCAGTCAATGAAAACGTTGTGTAATATCTATAACGTTTTAATAAACCTACCAAAAAGTTGCAGAAAGAAATTGATCTTCCACACAAGAGATGTGTTGTGTATCTCCATCCTGGTTACTTTATGTTGCTCAAAAACTATTTGAAATAAATACATGTATTATATATATATATATATATATATATATATATATATATATATATATATATATATATATATATATATATATATATATATATATATATATATGTAAAGTGCCATTTTGCAGCAAAAATTAGACGACATTTTTTTGGATTAGGTTTTAAATATGCCAATAACCGATCATTAAATCGTCCGGCCAATGACCGACCCTGTAAAGCAGGGGTCTCCAAACTTTTCAGTCCTAGGGCCGCATTAACTATCAAATTTCAGTTCAGGGGCCAGTTTCTTCCAGGCATGTCTTTGATTTTTCTGGGCAAAGTTCCTCAGCCATCACCAACAAACAATTTTTCCGAGGACAAAAAGATCTCCGCGGGCCGGATGAGAGGACTTCGAGGGCCACATCCGGCCCGCGGGCCGTAGTTTGGAGACCCCTGCGGTAAAATGAAGGCTGGTGGCGTCTAAAAATAAAACGTCGCCATGAACACAACTCACATAAACAGGTCGCGCTGGGCACCGAGACTTATGAGAGTTAGGTGAGTCGTTTTTAAAGACAGGATAATTTTGGAAATTGATTATCAGAGGATTGGATTTTGGAGGGGAACACTAATTAAAAACTCCGCTATCATTAATGCTGATCGATTACCTTGATGACCTTGCTATCGATCGGTTTCACTTTAAATCAATATACTATAGACCCCCCCCCCCCCCCCCCCCCCCAGGCTCTTGACTATAATCCACTAGTTTAAAACTGCAATTTACTTAATACATTTTCAAAATTCTATCTACAAAATTATCTTTTTTTATTATATTTTTGGTACCACAAAAAAAGATTAATAGTTGACATTAATTAAGTTACGCTGGTTAGCATTGACCTAATTCGTAGCACGCTTGTAAGCGTCTACATTGATGTTTACATTGTTAAGCATTCACATGGCTTTAAGTAAACAATAAATGTGACTGATCAAAGTTTAAGATATTCGGTTTTATTGTGTTATTTGCTTATTTTCTGAAATCGATCTACGAAATACGCGATTTCTAAGTTTTTTGACAGACTTGAAACAAGGTTTTACAAGGTATTATTTAACTTTCTGTCTAGATCGAAACGTCCGAGCGAAATTTCGGGCACTTCTGGCTGATTCGGTTCAAAGTTGGCACTTGGGTCAAGAAATGAAGACAAAACAATCTGACATTAAATTTGACTTAATTGGATGCTAATTAATTTGTTATGAATTAATTAAAATTGTGTCCAAATTAGTAGGCTGTCTTACCTAACTATTCCGCACTGTTATCATGTTCAATGTGTGCGCAATGGTTTTAGTCATGCAACTCTATTTAATTTTTTTTAATTTAAAGTACTGAAAAAAATTCATAATAAACGTTTCAATAACAAGCTTTTATGCACTAAAAAGTAGAAAATAAAATTATTTTCTTTAAATATATAAAAATACACAACTATTTAAATAACTATACAGAAAAGCGTGCGCCTCTTCCTAAATATTAGTACAGGTATCAAATAGATACTAAAGTGACGCACCATTTTCTTTATAGTTATTTAAATAGTAGTCTATAATTTATTTTCTACTTTTTGGTGCATTATTACATAAAAGCTTGTTATTAAAACGTTTTTTTATTGTTTTTTTTTGTTTGAAATATTTTGAGATTGTGAGGCGCCATCTTTAAAAATCGACTGCCTTCATCGAATATATTAGGGGCGTTTTTCAATCACTTTGAAAAACGCGTTGCAATTTGAAGCATAAAATAAATTTTAATTTTAAAAACTGCAGTTTTAACATGCGGATCAGATGCGTCGCAAGGCGGGGGTCAGGGGTGCGGATCGCATAGGGTGACGCCATTTAGGGAGGGGGTGACACCAATACGAAAATGTCCAAAATATTTAGAAGAAAATGCTTTTTTTTTCAGTTGAGTTATTGATTAGTTATAGTTAAAAAGACTTTTAAGTGCAAATGGCTTAATTACTTTTAACGACCCTAAGCATAATTTACTCTATGTGCATGTTTTATTCGCAGACAACATCATTTTAAAAAAAAACTACCTACGGGCTACCACTGGACAAAAAAGCCTGGTCGTTAGGTGCAGCCATTATGTTTCATTATGGCATTAGGTTAAACACACGACCTAATTTGTTAATAGGCTCGTTCAATAATGAAATAAGCCCTTGTTGCAAACACCAACAACGTAGATTTTCTATACCAGTGTCCGATAATAGAATCTTCTTAAAAAGGGGTGTTAAGTTACTAAAACTAAATGCACATTTGACTTGTTAATATTTTTTTACTGATAATATTATTAATATCAATGCTAACCTTAACCCCAACCTGGTTCTAACATAAGCCTAACCCTAATTTCTAACCATAAATCTAGTCGAGATTACAATACTACTAACATACTGCTACAGAAACTGCAAGTACACAAATCCAACACTAACAATTTAACACACCTTTTTTGGAAAGAACCTATTATCAGACATCAGTATCCTACATCATCCCTGATGTTCAAGTGAATAAAAGCACAAACAACCTGACGGCTGACTGTTCACAACTCACGGTGTAGCACTTCACAAATCACCGCTAGATCTGGATCTCGAAGCCCTCTGAACGGAAACGAACACACACTTTCAAGGTACACTACTCTCATTGCTCGCAAATTTTGCATGTTTTGCAAGCTGGGGCATTATGACCGTACCCCATTTAAAATAAAAGCGTTCATAATTTTTTTATTTTTAAATTGGCATCTTTAAACAAAATACCATTCTTCTTCACGAACATTTCTCTAAATGGCAACACTCTCATTAACGAAGCTATACATCAATAGAACTTGACGTGTTACAGCTAATTTGTTTTTTTTTTTCGAAGCAGAGTCCATAGCAACTTTGGATCAACGGGCAGTGAAATTATTCTTAAAACAAATTGCGAACAAGAAGATAACATAGCTGATTGTGTCAACATTTAACAAAAAGAAGAGACACATTCATTAAACATCGCTAGTCCCATAAAAGCAGAGTTTCTTCCAGGCGTCTCTACCCCCACCCACCCGAACATAATGGAATTTATATAGAACATATATACTTTTACCAGTGTCCGCCCCCCCCCGCCCCCCGGAAAATTTAGTCCGCCCCCCCCCCTCCGGAATGTTCAATTGCCCCCCCCCCCCCTGAGAAAAAAGTCTGGAAGAAACACTGCATACAAGACCCATAAATTATATGCCTCCCTAACGAGGCTCTAAAATTACTTGACATTAGTACTACATCACTCCCTTACATAACTCTAAATTACATGACTCCGTTACATGACTCCCTTACATGACTCCCTTACATGACTCAAACTGTAATTATGTCTGTCATACTAAATAAGATGGCGCTTTGATATTTATTTCTTTTTCTAGCGTTTTTCTACGGGACAATGGGTTGAAACTTTTGGGGGTAGGGCGCAATTGAATTTCAGAGGGGGTGGACAATGATTCAACATATATTTACTGTATACACTTTTTTTCTATTTCGTCCGGGTGAAATAATTTAATACTTCTCCGAAAAAGGCGCCGCCACTATCCCCCCCCCCCCCCCCCCCCCCCCCCTTCGTAAGCTACTGAGCAACTCATGAATAAAGAGAACTCTTAAAAGCAAAGTGCCACTAATTTTAACATTTGGATTTTTTATTAAACACACCCCGACCAATATCCACATAAGCTGTAATAGTTTACAGGGGTCGGCAACCTTTTGAAGCGGATGAGCCAAAAGTTACAATTTTCAAAATCTCCCTCGTTTTAAAGAGCCACTAACATTTTTTTATTTCAAATATTTTTTTTTATTAAGATTATTAGTATTTGTGCAAGGAGCTGGAGAGCCGAATCTTGATATCAAAGAGCCGCATGCGGCTCGCGAGGCGCAGGTTGCCGACCCCTGGTTTAGGTTGTTTGCTAAGTTAACTCAGAAAAGTGTAGATAAATGAATGTTAATAACAAGGGTCCTATTACATGATGCTGTTTAGCCGGAGACTTAGTCTCTACTGGGACCTTTTGACAAGCAAAATGACGGGAGAATTTTGTCGGGAGCATAATTGAAGGGAGCCTATATTTCGGAAGCCTAGATGACGGGGTCCATTTGTCGCTGGTCCCTTTGTCGGGGTCGATTTGACGGGGCTCTTTTGTCGGGGTCGTTTTGTCGGGTCCATTTTTGACGAGGCCGTTTTGTCACTGATCGTTTTGACGCCGCACGTGACGTTATCACAGTTTCACTTCCCCATTGCATTCATCAATGACATAGGTGTTTATCAATTGTTCACATTTTTGCAAATGTGTTGGGAAATATATTTTTTTTCAGTTGTTAGGTAAAACACGATTTACTGGGTACTTAATGCTCTTCAAAATTGTTTTATGTTCCGGAATGTATAGCGTGATCGAGTAGAGAAGCATATAATTGCTATCTGAAAAAGTCCTGAGTTCGAACATGTGTGTTTCCTGGATAAAACATTTTAAATAAACACATCTGACTCCGCATATATTTAATTTCTAATGGGACGACGTGGTCTAATGGTAGAAAACGGCTGCTGACACGAAAGTCTCGAGTTTGGTTCGCGAGCTTGAGTCTGTGGGACGTCCCTGTGTCCGCCCAGCTCTAATGGGTACCTGACTCACTGAGTCCGCCCAGCTCTAATGGGTAACTGACTCGCTGAGTCCACCCAGCTCTAATGGGTACCTGACTCACTGAGTCCACCCAGCTCTAATGGGTACCTGACTCACTGAGTCCACCCAGCTCTGATGGGTACCTGACTCACTGAGTCCACCCAGCTCTAATGGGTGTGTGTGTGCATATGTGCGAGTGTGTGTGTTGGAGCCGGACGTTTTCCCGATTGAACACTTTCCCGATACACATTTCTTTATTATAAGGACTTTCTTGAATAAAATGAAGGTGCCCACGTTTTACTCACTGTTTTAAAACCCCATAAAGACCTGTTGTTTACAAGAATGCACAATGTAGGCAATGCATTATGTTTACAGGAAATACGACGTTTTGTTTTGATAACATAACCGCTTGTCTCCCCTCCCTCATCCACAACCTCTCCCCCCCCCCCCCCCACACACACACTGCTTTCACACAGTCGACCTGTGTTGGAACATCCCACCACTAGCTAGTGTGTATAGACGTGGTAACTGGTTGCTATTTAAGGTTAGAAATATACTTCTTATTCAAGGTAAAATATGTTGACCAAGAACTTCAAACGTTTATTATTTATGGTCCATGGTGCAGAAGAAAAATATCTAAGATGTATCACCATCAAAATGTCTTTGGTTAAACACTAATATTTTACTCCCGTTTTCCCTTTGATGCAATTTTTACAGGAACGGCAAGGTCGAATGGTAGAGCGTGTGGCTGCTAGCTCGAAAGTCTCGTTCGGATCTCGATTCGGACTTGTGACAGTGAGACGTCCCTGAGTCACTCAGCGCTAATAGGTACCTGACTTGCGTTGGAGAGTAAAGCCGGCTGGGCATATGCAGAGGTCAAGAAACATATGAACCGAAAGGATCGCTAGGTCTAAAATCGATAGGTCATCAACCTAGCTGTAACGGTACTCAAGTTATCGTGTTTACACACAGACAGACACACACAGAGACAGACAGACACACAGACATACGGACAAGATTGCAAAATTATGTGTTTCCGTATCAGTGAGGTGTAAAACGTCGAGATTTGTAAAAATCTCGATTTTTATTTTTTCACGGTATACCTCGTATATTCGAGAAAGTAAAAAAGGAACTTTACCTACATTTCTTATGCTTTCTTAGAGTAACTATAGGATTCATTGCCCATATTGGTTAATTGTAATACCCTTAATGTAAGAGAGTATAAAATTGATTAGGCCTACTCAAATAAAATTTGCTATACAAAAACAGCCCTAGGGAAAAAATTGTATTATATTCCACTCTGACGTTTAAAAATAAAGCACATACACTAATTAGTTGTTTGTTTGTTTTCTTTTAATTGTGTGTCATCTCTCTACACGTAGATTCTATTTATGAAGTCATTGACAATGTTAGCTTCTTCTTCTTCTTCTTCGTTCTTAATTTTTAGTGTTGGAAGGGATCGAGCCTTATTTGCCAGAGGGTTTGAACTCGAGACTTTTTTCGAATTTATCAACCATGAGCTTTGCCGACTCGACCATGCTTCCATCACAATTAAGGATTACGTGTCAACTGGTTATGCGCCATTGAGGCCATTGACTCCGATTTCAGCCTGCTTTTCTTTCTGGATTTGCTTCCATAGCCTTTGTCCGACCAAGAACAAACTACAAGGCAGCAGTAGTTTGATTTTGGAGTTGTCTCTCCTAGAAGAGTGGCTGTCCCCAGCTAACGAGCCTCATTCCCCGAGGGTTCAAACAATGTTAGCAATCCGAGAATGGCATCGCTCATGATCGATGCTAGACCCTCAATTATTATTGTTGACATCAACCAAAACGGGATCTCGTCCAGCTATGCTACGCCACTAAGGCAAAAAGTGCATGGACGAAAAGTTAAGCCCCGCCACATATTCTATCTCAAATTTAATGCACACACGCAACTTGGACCTATTTCTGATACTGATAAGGGTCATCCATAAATGACGTCACGCTTTTTTGACGATTTTTTACTCCCCCCCCCCCCTCCCCTCCGTCACACGTCGTCACAAAAAGCCAAACCCCCCCCCCCCCCTAAAACGACGTCACACTTAAACCTACAACCCCCCCCCCCCCCCCCCTCAAAATTGCAGATGATTTTTTTTTTAAACATCGATATTTTTCCAAAATCTTGTCTAAACTATTACAATTTATTAAAACATTTATCTAAAACGCGAAATAACGTCTAAAATTCGTTTTCTAACATTGCTTTTTTAAAATGCAAAAATGTGACGTCGCAACATCTGAACCCCCCCCTCCCTCACCCTCATCACACATCGTCAGAAAAATTACGGACCCCCCCCCCCTCCCCCCTACGAGTGTGACGTCATTTATGGATGACCCCCATATCTAGAAATTGAATATCCAAACGCACGCCATAAACACAACTTCTTATTTGCCTCTAGGATTAGGGTTAGGGCTATGGTTAAGAATCTGTTAGGGTTAAAAAAATTTAAGTACAAGTTTCAAATGCTGGAATTTTTTTTAACATCTTTTTTTGGGGGGTGGCGGGGGATAATTTTTTGGCGGGGCTTATCTGGACAATATCCCCAAAACTTGCATTTGTTAATTTTGCCCGGCAGTTAAAAATGTAAAACAATAACGATAAAAGAAACTTCAGGAATATATTTTACGAATTTATGATGGCTACAATATGTTCAAATGCAGAGAACCTTTACTTTAGAATGAAATACTTTGACTGACTACTTATCATTTATGATTTCATTTTTGTATCTCCTTCCACCAGAGGCGTTGCGAGGGCGGTACATATGTCCGACCTTAGGGGGCGCCAAAAGGGGTTGTAAAAAAAATATTAAAATCTCATTTTAGCTGCAGTTCTGCCTTATAAATATAAAAAATATATGGGAGGGGGTGCTTATTGAAAGTTTGAGGTTGGGGGTGCAAATTGAAAGTTTGAGGGGGGTGCAAATTAAAAGTTGGAGGGGGGGTGCAAGTTGAAAATTTAAAAATTGTTCCCGAGGGGGGCGCCTATTTGAAAGTTTGTCCCCCGGCGCCTGGATGGGTCGCTACGCCTCTGTCTTCCACCACTCCCCCCCTCCTTCCACACCTCCCCACACCTCCTTCTTCTCAAAACGTTTTTCGGTAGAAATTTTTTTTACCTTTGAGTCACAGTATGACCTTATAATTATGTCAAGTTTGTTTACATTACCATGCCGCCATGAAAAAAACAAAATCAAATTGTTTTGCTTTTTTTTTCCGCTTGTGATATTTAAAACAATAAATATGGAACAGCTTTAGAAAAGCCATACATAGGCAACACCATCGGGTTTTTATAATGTCTTCATTTCAACAACAGCACAAGATTTTTTTAATATTTATTATACCAGAGAGTATTCTCACCAAAGCAAAGGGACATAACTGTAATAGAATTGTGTAATTTGACCAGGCTTCTGGACAATTTATAACACTGACAAGAGTTATTGATCCTACTGCAATGACGCGAACAGGTTACGTGGGGAAATCCAGGAGAAGATAACCCGACTACACTTTCCTGTACAAAGCGGGTCAAATTTGGATGTGATTTATTGTATAAATATTGTGAGGTAGTTAGCAGAAGAGGTGTTACATTATAGTGGGTTTACTATATTAGGTTAGAGTAACTATATTAGACAATGATAACTGATTAGTATTGACATGCTATTTTTCCTTATAAAATGGATGTGAGTGGCTCTGTGTTGAATCCATGGCTTTTACGTGAATAATCAACGTGAGGTGTATTTTGGGTCGGCGTGGTCAAGTCCAGTGTTTCTTCCAGACTTTTTTCTCCGGGGGGGGGGAGCACTTGAAATTTTCGGGGGGGGGGGGGGGCGGTAGACTTTCTTCGGGGGGGGGCGGACACTGTTAAAAGTATATATTTTCTATATAATATTCTATAAATTTCATTTCGTTCGGGGGGGGGGGGGGGGCGGTAAAAAAATTTCGGGGGGGGCTTTGCCCCCCCCCCCCCCCCGAAGAGATGCCTGGAAGAAACTCTGGTCAAGTCGGTAAAGCTCATGGTTGCTAAACCGAAAACGTCTCCGTAACTGACACATTGCAACATTTCTCATTCATCTATGATAATCTTATTGTATCTCATTTTGCATTATAACTACGTAATACTATTTCTTTATTCCACATTTTTTAATGCTATGTTACTGCTATGTCTTCACTACTGAATTGCTTTAATTAAAATGCTGTTATGTTGTTGTTTTTTTAACAGCCAATGTGAAAAAAGCCTCCTTGCTCCTACTGTTGTTACTGCTATTGAATAAATTGACATTAACTACATAGGAGTAAAGGAATAATGAGTTTTGACTTTTCTTTACAGAACTTTAGGAATAAACACATTTGGAATTCTGTCAATGTGTTAAAACCTTTAAAAGTTTACTGAATTGAAATTTCTTTCACTTCTAAATTTTTACTTAAAGAAAAATAAAAACATTTGGTTTCACACCCTTTAATCCTTTAATACAAGACGGTTCAGTTATTTTTATGCTTTTTCTGAAGATGATTCACAAAAATTATTTTTAAAAAGTTCCAAACTTTATACAATTTTTTTTTTAATTTAAAGTCAACTTTTAGGTAATTCAAAAGATTATTTATTATTCAAAACTCATCCTAGTTAAGAATATTAAATAAAAAATAAATTCAAAGCCAATCGATGCAAAACTTTATTCAGATTATTCATAACATCATTCAGACAATGTAAACAACTTCTCAGGTCTACTGTCATTCACCTCACTCATTCACACTTCAACTATACTGACTTGTCAAAATGATTCAGTTTGATCAATATCACTGGCTATATGACAAATTGGTATTTAAATACTACATTTTGTTAAAGTGATGCATGGTAAGATCAAAATCATGGCTCTACACTATACCAAATCACCATCTTTTCCCTCAGTAGTTGTGACACATACCTGCACTAGCCTACAGTGTTATGTATAACAACAGTACAGTGCAATATTAATCATTAACAGATAGCCAGAGGTTAAAGGCTTAATTAGATCAACCAATGTTAACATAAAAATTATTTTACATATTTCCAAGATCATAAATATTCTTAGAGTGACAGTTCTGCAACATCACACTAAACCTAACCACATTAACCTATACACATTAAAGAAAATGTTCAATGATGAAAATAATTGCCTCAATTATCACAAACTTTACTATTCCTTTGTCAAAAATATTTGTAAGCTCAAATTTTTAAATACATCAGGTTACTTAAATTTATTTTCTATTGAACAAGTTCCAGATGTATCCTGCTTGCATTTTGCAGACACAAACGTTCAATGACTATGGAGTTGATAAATTGTTTGCAAGCAATGCATAATACAAAAGGTACCACAAATATTAAGTCACTAGTTAAAGTATTTTTTCATAACTGCTTTTATATAAAAAGAATTATTCTGAGGAAGAATATATTAAAAAAAGATACATTAAAAGAAATAAAATAATACTAATTTATAATGTGTCTAAAAAGCCAACTTTGATTAAGTAAACCTATTGATTTGAAAACAATCATTTTAAGCACAAATTTCCAGCCTGTACAGCTTTCAGGGTTATAAGTAGTTATGTCATGGCTTGCAAAACTGACAAAAAACAGGTTTAATAAGGCTTGACAGTGTCTTACAGGTAAATCAAGATTAGGACTTGGTTAAGAAATGTATACACATCTGCATATCATTCAGTGAAGAAGAGATAAGTCACCGTACACCACTCACAGATTTACAACTGGTTTGGAAAGTTATAAAACATCTTTATGACACGCATGGACAAGAGCTAAGTCACCCTACACCACTCACAGATTTACAACTGGTTTGGAAAGTTATAAAACATCTTTATGACACGCATGGACAAGAGCTAAGTCACCCTACACCACTCACAGATTTACAACTGGTTAGGAAAGTTACAATGACACCCATGGACAAGAACTTAGTCACTCTACAAAACTCGCAGATTAACAACTGATTAGGAAAGTTACAAAAAGTTACAAAACATATTCATGACACCCATGGACAAGAGCTAAGTCACCCTACACCACTTTTAGCTCAACCACTGTTTAAAAAAAGTAACATCTGCATGACATCCAGCACTCTAGTGGAGAACTTAGACACCCTGCAATACAACAGAGTTATCAAAGTAAATGCCTGAGTGCCAGGACGCCTACAGAACAATATCTCCATGACTGAGTCTATGTACACAGTGCCTGAGATTCCAGACTAGGAAATACTGACCAATAAACTACAGAAAACCTGGGAAAGGGCAGCTTTAAAAAACTTGTGACAAAAATCCTGAAATGTATTGTCCCCTATTATCAAGAAAATAACTTTAAAATCTATTTGAGTATATATGTGCACCATGCCAAACTTGTTTTAAAAAATTAGATTAGGCAAAACAAATAGACATGCGCCCAACAAGTTTTGTAATAATTGATTCAATTAAAAGAAAATGGACTTTGCAAAAATACTTTACAAATACATGAAATAAAAAAAAAATACACAAAAAATTATATTTATTATTTCAAAAAACGGTCTTTTAGTGCCTATTACTGTATTGTAAAAAACTAATTAAACAAGTTTTAGCAACCAATTCCTCCAATTCTGTACATCAAACCAGGATTAAATTAAATATGACTTAAAACTTCTCACTCGCACACCAGAGAATAAAAATATTACATTTATATATATATATTAAAATTAAAGTAAAAAATTCTAGTTATGAGTTAATATAAAAAATACTGAATGTGACTCAAATAAATATGTAGTCATCTAAGTCTCAAATCAACATTCATTTCAATGTGACAAAACCTAAGATTCATAAACTCATGTGCCATATTAAATAAAGCTGTGTTGAGTTACGTACCCTTTAAAATCAGTATCAACTCTACATAGCCATTTCCACATATTCATGAATAAATAAAACCTGTATAAAAATATTCCACTGCTGTGCTCCAGGTTACAACATTGCTTATTAAATATATCCAACATTCCAGGAAGATTTTCAACTTGAGAAACTTAAGAGGTCATGTGACCGAAAGTCTGGAAAAAAGACATGACAGTAACATGTCTAAAATATTGACAGTGGTTATTTAGTTCCAGCATGACAAGTTGACTGGTCCTAAAAGATTCCTAGCATGACAAGTTGACTGGTCCTAAAAGATGACAAGTTGACTGGTCCTAAAAGATGACAAGTTGACTGGTCCTAAAAGATTCCCAGAACGACAAGTTCACTGGTCCTAAAAGATGACAAGTTCACTGGTCCTAAAAGATTCCTAGCATGACAAGTTAACTGGTCCTAAAAGATGACAAGTTGACTGGTCCTAAAAGATGACAAGTTAGCTGGTCCTAAAAGATTCCCAGAAGGACAAGTTGACTGGTCCTAAAATATTCCCAGCACGACAAGTTGACTGGTCCTAAAAGATTCCCAGAATGACAAGTTGACTGGTCCTAAAAGAATCCCAGCACGACAAGTTGACTGGTCCTAAAAGATTCCCAGAAGGACAAGTTGACTGGTCCTAAAATATTCCCAGCACGACAAGTTGACTGGTCCTAAAAGATTCCCAGCACGACAAGTTGACTGGTCCTAAAATATTCCCAGCACGACAAGTTGACTGGTCCTAAAAGATTCCCAGAATGACAAGTTGGCTGGTCCTAAAAGATTCCCAGAATGACAAGTTGGCTGGTCCTAAAAGATTCCCAGAATGACTAGTTAACTGATCCTAAAAGATTCCCAACAAGACTGCTCGAGTGATTAAGTTTTGAATTATTTCTAGCACAGCAAGTTGACTGGTCCTAATAGTTTTAAAAGATTTCTAGCATGACAAGTTGACAAGATGAAAGGTCCTAAAAGATTTCATCGTACCACTGTGAGATCTGGGACCAGTAGGTGTAGGCTATGGCAGACAGCATTAGCCCCATGCTCATGTACAGGGGTGGGTATATACTGGACGTTGTGTACTCTAGCTCTGTCTTTGTGACACCTAAAGCTTTATTACAGACTTGTTTTGTTCTAGCGCAGTTGGGGTCTGACTCTGGTATTCTTTCCATTATCTGTGGTAAAAAATGGGAATATTTAGGGGAATAAAGGGTAAAACATGGGGGACATTTAGGGGGAACGAAGGGTAAAAGATGTGGACATTTGGAGGATTGAAGGTTAAAGTATGGCGATATTTTAAGGAGTGAAAGATAAAATGTCAATATTTAGAGAATAGACAGTTAAATCATGGAGATATTAGAAGGATTGATAATAATTTAAGAGATGACAGAAGTAATACCTAAAAAAATATATATATATTGACTTACACCTTGACTGATAACTGAAATTACCAATCTCAAGTTTTTTAGTTCTTCACTAGCTTGTAAAATAGAACAGTGTAGCTTTAGCTAAGATGTGTGTACTTACTTCCAATGTAAAATGTTTCATTATAGCTTTCACATTCTCAAACTTGGTTGCGTTGAGCATCATGCGTACTGTTTCACCTTTGCGTATTTTAACCACCCCCGTGAACACATTAGGGTTATTGTAACAGCGTTCTAAAGTAGCAATTGCCATCACCTAGACAGTAAAGTAATAATGAGTGTAAAAACTACAGTAGTGTAAAAACATTAAATTAGTATAGTACTGTAAAAACATTAAATTAGGATACAAGGGCCATTATAATATAACACTACACAACTTAAGCTTAACTCCCTGTCTAAAAAAAAAATCCTAGAACAAAAATGTTCTTAAAAAATTTGAAATTTCCTGACACTTTGTGGTCTATCCATAAATCAATCTTTATTTTATGATAATTAAATAAAATGTTACATTATTTTTATAAATATACATGCTATATCATTTTACTGTTATTTTTGCCCTTTATTCTCAATGACAATGCATAGGGGTCACTAAATGTCACACAATGTACCAGAAGTAATTTATGAACAAGCCCTAAAAGATAAAGTGTACAGATTCATCTAATACTTGTATTTACCTGTGGAATAGCAACAAAATTGAAGATACTTTGATTCTTCAGTCTGCTCATGAACAGGATGGAGGAAGGCACCAGTTCCAGGGCATTTGTTATCAACTCATTCAAGCACTCCACAGCTTTCTCTCTGTTCTCTGGCTTGGCAAAGTCCCCAATATCATTGCCATATTTCCTCCAACACTAGAGAGGTGGAAGAAAATATTAAAAATAGTAACTGATACAACAAGAGAACAATTCTTAAATCACCTCTAAAATCTGGATGAACTTCCAATAAAAAAATAATTGAATACTACAAAATTTAATAATTATAAATATTCACAAAGGCATCTGATATTATTTTAAGCAAAAACTTTATTAAACATCTAACATGAAAATAAAGTTAAATGAAAATCATTAATATTAAAAATATATAAGAAAACAATCGTATAAAAAAAGGCTTACAGCTTTAGGCCAAAATATTCGTTGATCATTCCAGTCTTCTAGATAGTCCCTGATGATGTTTGTCTTCTGTAGAAACAAGCCGACTTGGTTAGCTAACTTGGAGTCCTCGCCCACAATCTCATCCTCTAACCCTGACGCTGAGAACAGTTTAGCTAGTCCTATTCCAACCAAACCAGCTACATAGTGGCAGTACTGGAGACAGTTTTTTAAATGTAAACTTTGATACACTAGAGTACATTGAAACTGAACATTTAACAAATAAACTTTGAATAGATTTGAAGTGTTAGAAAGGTTAGAATGTACAATAGATATATGGTGTTTACTAAAAATTTAATCAGAAAATGATTATTCTACTATCCTTATTTTTAAAAACTTAAAAGAACACAAACTGATCTAAACAAAGACTTGAACATATGACATAATGAAAAAAAAATTCCAGTTCTTTTTCTTAAAGACATAGATTTTATACAGATCATTTTTTCTAAATTTCTAATAATATGCCTAGTCAAAAGAATACAATATAACTAGCTAGGAAGACCAACATAAATAAAATCACAAGCAAGGGAAACAACAAGAATATGACTTTGAAAAATACTGACTTCGTCCCACTCGTCCATTGTGTCAACTTTCCTCTCCAGAAACACTGTCATGCCATCTCCCATTTTCTGGCATATATCAGAAATAACCTCTCGGTATATAGGTGCAAGGGCTCGGAATTCTTTGGATATCTGAAAACAACTGCAGCTTATAACAGAGCAAATACATAAATTAGTTTCCATAGCTAGAGTCATAGACTTGAGGCACCCATCAGAGTTGGGTGGACTATGAGATGTCCAACAGACTCCTGCTCAGGATAACAAACTCTAGACTTATGGGTGAGCAATTATGCTCTACTATCCGACCACGATGACCCCTGCCCACTTAGGCTGGACACAAATGTAAAATACCTTTTTTCATCCTTTTTTTTAATCTTATAAATCCATAGCGCAGATGAAGTAGCATTGTGTCATAATGCACCATGCCTTAAATTTAAATAATTAAATTTTAGAATAAAAATAACTCAACATACCTCTGGGAATGTCTCCAGCACTAGCCTATCCTTGTCTTTACTCTCCATGTATTTCCACTCAGGGTCCAAAAGGTTTTTGTGGAACGTCTTGAGCATTGGAACTTTAATATCTATGGGGATGGTCATGTCATCTTCTACAGTGTCTAATGCTCGTAGCACTAGATAAAATATGCAAATAGCATCTCTGAAAGACAGCAATGACATAGATTAACAACTGAATTACTGTATTTATATAATTACTTGTATGTAAATGTTTGATTTGAAATTACAAATACTGTTGATTGTATACTTACAGACCAATTATAAAAATAAAAGTAAGAAAATAAAAAACAAATTTGTATTTTTTTCAAAAAAATAAGCAATGGATTACTTTTAAATATGTGACATGATCCGATGGCCTATCAAAAACAATCAAGCAGGGAAATGTGAAAGGAAGGAGATGGCAAGGAAGGTAAGGATAAAAACTGCATGGAGGAAATCAAGGAATGGACTGGGCTGCCCCTTGCAAAATTATTCAAAAATTAAATGTGGTGCTAAAACGTCCCCTACCTTTCCTCCCCCTATATTGATTGTTTAAATAGAATTAAAATTTCACCTCAGGTGTCCATCTAAAGCTTGTATGACAGCAGCAAAACTTCTACTTGTCAGGTTGAGCAGATGGTAACAATGCTTTAAACTTGAGCTCATACTGTTCTGTTTATAGGAATAAATTTCATTTATCAAAACTCAAATCATCTTTTGTCTATTGTAACCATAAGTAAACATACCTTCTAGTTTTACTGGACTTTTAATAATATTTGTATAAATTAAAAACAAGACAACTATTTATTCTTACCAAATCACATTTTGGCATTATGGCTTTGCTGCCTCCCATTTTAAAGCGCAGCAGAGCAATCACCTCATCTGGGTGTGTGATTGATTTTAATAAATCCATTGCTGTATCTGTTCAGCAATTTAGCCAAGAGTTCTGTTAGAGGAGTAAAAACTAATGAAATATAAGTAGGTTTTGCATAGAATAATCAAAAACCTGTTCACATTTTTTACTTTATATGGAATCGTGCACAAAATTGAAATTTTCACAAATCTAAACATTTTGCAACTCCCTGAGTGGGAAAATCTTAGTTTTGCAATTTTGCCTGTATGTCTGTGTGTGTGTTTATGTGTAACATGAGTATCGTTACAGCTAGGTTGATAAAATTTCATATATAAGTATTAAATCAAATTTGTAGTTCTATATCAACTTTTCAGCGATTTCCAGTAACCAAAAGTAGAACTTATTCTACATATGATTTATAAAGTACTAATGTTCCGCACTATTATAATTATACACACATTGTTTGCCTCTCTTGTTGCATTATTCTTTTCGAAGTGACTACTCGGAAGAAGATTTTTCTCCCCAACGGCTCCACTTAGTCGGCAAAAAATAGCTCTGCGCATGCGCAGTCACTTTTGGCTAGGGTTAGAGATAGGATTAGGATTAGGGATAGGATTAGGGTCTGGATTAGGGTTCTGCAGTTGTAAACACACGCATGCGCAGTACCATCGAAAACATCTCCGCGATGGCAAGTCGTAGCTTCTCTCCATTGCGCATGTGTATCTTATTCCGGCTAGCATCTGCCTATTCTTTTTTCTATGGGATTCTAATTTCTATTCTATTTTAAAAAGTTTAAGTAGAACTTAGATCTAGAACTTAGACTACTAACGTCTAACATATACCATGTAACAACAAGTCTAGATGTCTAGAGAGTATCACTAGATCTACCTAGATCTTGATCTAGTAATCTAGGGCCTACTCTAGATCTAGATCTAGATTTATCGGTCAGTTTCAGAGAGAGTGAGAGAGAGTAGAGTAGCGCTGGACTATCACTATGAAGTACGTATGAAGTACCAGGGCGGCTAAATTTATGTTAAACTACTGACAAAAGTCACATTCTTATCATTCTATTAATCAATTATTAAGCTTAAGATTGATTTCGATTTTAGATCTAGATTAGATCTAGTCTAGATAAGACAGAGAAGTCTCTAGATCTAGAAATCTAGATCTAGATAAATCTCAGAGGCGTAGTGACCCTTCCCGGCGCCCAGGGACAAACTTTTCGATTTGCACCCCCCTCAACCTTTCAATTTATTTTTCCAACCCATTTTGGCACCCCCTAAGGTCGGCGCCAGGGGACATATGTCCCCCCCCCCCCTCGCTACACTACTGATAAATCTAGATCTAGTTCTAGATCTAGAATCTATTCTCCACTAATGACTAAAACCAGACAATGCCAGACATTGAAATAAGTCAAATAAGTGTCTAGTCTAGTCTAGATCTAGAATCTAGATCTACATTCTAGAGTATAGAATAGATCTAGACTCTAGATCTCTAGATTCTAGATCTAGATCTAGATCTAGAATCTATAGATCTAGATCTAGATCTAATCTAGATCTAGATCTAGATCTAAATCTAGATTCTAGATCTAAATTCTAAGTTCAATAACTCAAGTCTAGCTGAAGACTTCTGAATTCTATCTTTTCTGGGATTAGTCTAGATCTAGATCTAAAAATCTAGAAACTAGATTTCTAGATGTGGATCTAGTCTACATCCTAAACTACCGTAAATAACACATTGTGTCTTGATCTAGATTTAGATTATATATAACAAAAATAACTTAACAATTTAATAACAAATAATAGAATCTTACCATAAAAACTCAATGAATGACGAGGAGTGAGATAAAATAAAAAGTTCCTCCAATTCTATTGGATCATGTATACCACGAGAAAAACAATAACCAATGAGAATAAAGAAAATGTTGGGAAAGAAAGGCTACTATGATATATTTTATAAAGTTAGCATTTTCGTTGTAGTCGCCCTTACAGGGAAGCCGGTTCAAGAACATTTTTAAAATTCCAACACAAATAACAGTTTACTTAAAGCGGAATTAACATTTCAACGGCAAGACAACTTGCAATTTGACAGCTAAAATTCCACAACAACAAGAACCAGTGATTGGATCTAAAAAAAAAATTTACTTTAAAGTTAGGGGTCATCCATAAATGACGTCACGCTTGTTTTTCGATTTTTAGCTTCCTTCTCCCCTGCCCTCCGTCCCACATCGTCACAAAAAGCCAGACCCCCTCTTAGGCACTGTATCTTAGGCAGTGTTTCTTCCCGACATTTTCGGGGGGGGGGGTGTAGACTTTCTTATCATAAAGGCCAATACAAATATAACAGCCTTTTCACAATCTGGATATCAAATGTACTGATTGCATTTTCCAAGAAACGACTATTTAACAGCACCGCAAACTAGGTCCCTTTGTATAGTTATGAGAAGTGGAGAGTAACACAAACTAATACAAATCAAACGAGACTTTGATCAACGAACGCCTGGGTCACTTATTGACTTCAAAACCTCAACTTGACTTCAAGTCAAGTGGCTTAAGACAATTACCTACCCTGAAGGGGGGGACACTATTGGTAGTGTTCCTTTCAGACTTTTTCCCCGGGGAGGGGGGGGGCATTTACAATTTTCCGGGAGAGGGGAGGGGCACACACTGGTAAAAGTCTATGTCTTATATATAAATTGTCATGGACCCAACTTGGAGGAGTCGCACGATGGAAGGTTGTGGTCTATGTTCCACAAGGATCCCCAAGCTTGATGGTGTTAAAGATGTGCTGCTATCCTACGGGATTCTAGTTCTATGCCTTTCTGCCCTTTCTGTTTATATGTGCAATATATATATATATATATATATATATATATATATATATATATATATATATATATATATATATGGGCGGCTGGGCATAGTGCTGACCGCACTATATCTTGTAATGCCGAGGACAGAGAAACAAGTGAACTTTACTTCACTTGCCCCATAGACCGTCAGGTTGGAAAGGGAAACTTTACTACAGTATTCACACTTTGAAATATCACCACCGTCCTTCTCCCCTTCCCAGCATTTGAGTACATATTATGCATGTTGATGTGGACCTGGTGTTACAAGCGTATATTTTTTTCGTAGCCAGGTCAAGCAATTTTCAGAGTGCCTAAGCGACAACTGTCTATTGTATGAAAAAGATACTTACATGCCATCGCTGGAAAATGCTAACACAATTTGTGGTGATTTATTACACCTTTTTACTGATACTGTTTTGAATCGATTACTTTATATTTTATTTTTTCCCCCCGTAGTGTATTTATTTTACTGGTTTTGTATACATTCTGAGAACTATTTGGCGATATATATATATATATATATATATATATATATATATATATATATATATATATATATATATATATATATATATATATATATATACAGATATATATATATATATATATATATATATATATATATATATATATATATATATATATATATATATATATATATATATATAAAGCAATGTATGTGTGTGTGTTTGTTTGTTTGTTTGTCTGTCCTTTATGCATTACTACACCTCTCATCACATCGCCGTGAAACTTTGGGAAGTTGTTGAGAATATTCCTGGGGAGATTTCTGCGAAAAAAAAATTTTCAAATTCGCAGGGGTGGCGCCCCGGCAGGGCGCGATTTGTTTTTTCTCTATATACGGTATATAAAAATAAAAGTCCATTTTGATTTCACACTGTTCATCCGATAGGCATGAAACTTTGGGGAGTTCGTTATAACCCTCTAGGAAAGGGTTATGTAAAAAATTAATTTTTTAATTTCGCAAGGGCGGCGCCACGGGAGGGTGCGATTTTTCTCTATATACGGTATATAAAAATAATAAAAGTGAATTGCAGTGACACCGTTCATCCGATAGGCATGAAACTTTGGGGGTGTTGATTAGGACACTCTGGGGAAGGGTTCTGTAAAAAAAATCATATTTAATTTCGCAAGGGCGGCGCCACAGGAGGGTGCGATTTTTCTCTCTAATACGTATATAAAAAAATAATAGTGAATTGCGGTGACACCGTTCACACGATCGCCATGAAACTTTGGGAACATGTAGAGAATATAACTGGGGAGATTTCTGCGCTAAAAACATTTTCAAATTTGCAGGGGTGGCGCCCCGGCAGGGCGCGATTTGTTTTTTTCTCTTTATGCGGTATATAAAAATAATAAAAGTGAATTGAGGTGACACCGTTCACACGATCGCCATGAAACTTTGGGGAGTTCATTATAAAACTCTAGGAAAGGGTTCTGTAAAAATCATTTTTAATTTTGCAAGGGCGGCGCCACGGCAGGGTGCGATTTTTCTCTATATACGGTATATAAAAATAAGAGTCGATTTTGGTGTGACACCGTTATCCGATAGCCATGAGACTTTGAGGGAGATGATTAGAACAATTCAGGGAAGGGTTCTGTAAAAAAAATAATTTTTAATTTCGCAAGGGCGGCGCCAGGGGAGGGTCAAATTTTTCTCTTTTTACGGTATATAAAAATAATAGAAGTGAATTGCAGTGACACCGTTTATCCGATAGGCATGAGACTTTGGGGAGTTCATTATAAAACTCTAGGGAAGGGTTCTGTAAACAATCATTTTTAATTTCGCAAGGACGGCGCCACGGGAGGGTGCGATTTTTCTCTATATACGGTTTATAAAAATAAGTCGATTTTGGTGTGACACCGTTATCCGATAGCCATGAGACTTTGGGGGAGTTGATTAGAACAATTCAGGGAAGGGTTCTGTAAAAAAAAACCGTTATTAATTTCGCAAGGGCGGCGCCACGGGCGGCTGCGAATTTTCTCTATATACGGTTTATAAAATTTCGTTTTCACACCGTTCATCCGTGTACCATGAAACTTTGGGGAGATGATTAGATCACTCAATGGTAGGGTTCTGCAAAAAATATTGTTTTATATTGCAAGGGCGGCGCACCACCGGGGGGGGGGGGGGGGTGAGCGATTTTTTTTCTCTATACACGGTATATAAAATATAAAACTCGGATGCGGTTCATCCGAGTGCCATGAAACTTTAGGGAGTAGAAGATCTAGATGAGAATACTCCCGAGAATATTTCTGCGAAAAAAAAAAAACTAAAGTTTCTTACGGGCGGCTCCATATAGGGTACAACTTTCGTC